CCTATCATGGTGATAGTAACTGAGCTCCTACTAGGTGGGACATTGCGTAAGTACCTTCTGAGTATGCGCCCAAAGTGCTTGGACATGCGCATAGCAGTTGGGTTTGCACTTGATATTGCTCGTGCAATGGAATGCTTACACTCCCATGGAATCATTCATCGAGACCTGAAACCTGGTATGAGTATAGTATTGTTTAGTGTGCTAATAAGTCTGAACAAGTAGCATCGTGTCAAAAGGTTGGCAACTTCTATGTATAATTGCATTTTGTCTTGGTATATTTTTAAGATTTGGAGTTTCTGCCGTTATGGCTTTTGTTCCTTTAGTATTCTCTAATCTGACTTGTGAAAAGGAAAATAAATTCCATGATAACCAATAGCATGTGGCATAGGTTATCTCTGTGCTTTCTGTTTATATAAATGGTAGGAAGCTTGCTATACAACATTATGAGTTTACCACTGATGAACCGTACTTGATTCTGTGTTCCATGTTTGTTAAACTGTAAGTGAAGTTTGTGCTCCTGGAGCAATTGATACACACACATATATCTTTAAGTGTTGTTTTTCCCTGAATGAATTATTCAAACTTTCTGCCTGATGGTGGACAATCTGATGGCCCTTAGTTTATCGTATCCATTAGTGTTAAAGGGATTGAATATGTTATTTATGTTTCTAATAACAATTTTGGCTGGAAGTAAAGGAAAATGGTAACAGCCTTTTTGTGGACATAAAGTAATATTGTTCTATCACTGGTTATAGGTTGTATGATCCTGATAAATTCTTTCCATGTGTAGAGAACTTGATCTTGACTGAAGACCATAAAACAGTTAAACTAGCAGATTTTGGTTTAGCCAGGGAAGAGTCATTAACAGAAATGATGACTGCTGAAACAGGGACATACCGTTGGATGGCTCCAGAGGTAATTTACTGAATTATTCAGAACTTGAAAATTGATTTTTTTCCTATAATTTTTTTTTTTGAGATGCTGATTATTCCCCTCATATTTGCTAACAGCTTTATAGCACAGTCACATTAAGGCATGGAGAGAAAAAACATTATAATCATAAGGTAGATGCCTACAGCTTTGCTATTGTGTTGTGGGAACTCATCCATAACAAGTTGCCTTTCGAAGGCATGTCAAATTTACAAGCAGCGTATGCAGCTGCTTTTAAGGTAATCATGTATAGCCTTTTTATATAGTCATAATTAAGATGGTATGATTTCTCGAGTATGTGCTTGTCAGCCTGCCTTCGCCTGATGCTAAAATTTTTAAATATCTGCAAACAACCTTCTGTCAGTTTTGTAGGATTCTATATACTGTCAAAGACACCCTAAGACATAAACATTAACATTATGGATGAGAAATGACCTGTGACCACTATTGAACCTTGATCGTGTTACCTTCTGTTATGCATTTGAATCATGAGGCTATCAGTCAGTCTCTAGTAATTCTAACCCCTGCCTTGTTATAAAAAGACTCCACTTGACTTTCTCATTAACTATGGTGATTCAAAAGGGTGTCAGAATGGGAATCTTTTTACCTCAAGCTACAGCACAATCTAGTTTCTCAAAATGTCATGCACCATGAAACCTGTAAAAAATTTATTTTCATCATGAATAGAACTCATATATCATTATGTTTCTCCAAATGCAACTATGAATTCTGATATTGGCTTCATTGTCTTAAGTTTTAAACTTTGTTATTCCAGAATGTTAGGCCTAGTGCTGAGGACCTTCCAGAAGATTTGGCATCAATTGTGACCTCGTGTTGGCAAGAGGATCCAAATGCACGGCCCAATTTCAACCAAATCATACAGATGCTATTACACCATCTATCAACCATTTCACCCCCAGAGCCTGTCATGCCTCCTAAGAGAACAACTTCTGAGAATGCTGTATTACCACCAGAGTCACCCGGTACAAGTTCATTGATGGCTGCAAGAGATGATGTAGGGGAAACCCCAAAAGCCACCGTGGAAGACAGGCCAAGAAGTTTCTTCTTCTGCTTTAACCAGTGTTACTGATCCCCTCCAAGGCACAATTCCGTTTTCGAGGGTTTCACAAATTATTTTTAGGGGAGTTCAATAAGCCATTAGTCTCAGATATTAGAAACAAATACAATCTTGGTAAGAACAAAAAAAAAAAAGAATGTCAGATCTAATCAGATTAGTTTAGTTCAGTTATGACAGAAAAAGCTGTCTGGTATCTGGTGTATCCTGTTAACTTTGCATGCCTGCTTTGCATCAATTTTAGTATGCCCTGACTAAGATGGATCCAGAACTTTTGGGGTAGCGGTTGCTGTGATGGAATTATCAATGTAAATAAGGTGCATCCAAATGCCTTTGCTCCTGTTCTTTTTCTCTAGAAATTTGCATAAGTGTGTTGGTGCAGGACTGTCAGAAAATCTGGCATGTGAGCTTAGCCCTTGGCCAGGAGATTAATTTCATTAATCACTGTTGGTTATCCATATGCTGAATCCATATTAATAAATTCGACAACTTTGCTTACATGCTGATTGTCTAATTGGTGTGACCTCTACTCTGCAACTTTCCAACATTTCCCATCATTCCATTAAATTGAAAGCATTGCCTTAAAACTGGAATCATTGCGGATAGCATCAAAAGCAAACTGAAACAGGCCTGTCTCCTCAGTGCAGACTAGCTGGGATTCTTTCAACTCTTTGGGCTGGGATGAGCCTCATTTCCAACCTCAAAGCTGCATAGGCCCAAAGTTTTTTCTATGCAGAATAACTGCCAAAAACGAAACGCCGTTGCCGGGGATCGAACCCGGGTCACCCGCGTGACAGGCGGGAATACTTACCACTATACTACAACGACTTGTTGATGGAAAGGTGTCCACAAATCATTCTATTTATCTGTACATTTTGTTTAAATGTTTTTTCCAATAAATTAAATGTTTAAAAAAATATATGAAAACTAGCTTTCAACCCATACATCGGAATTTTCGTTATACAATAAAAAATTCTAATTAATTTAGAATGTTTATTTGTTCATATTAATTAGTACAAAAATAAAATAAAGATAAAAGCAATGGCAATAAGAACAAAAAAAAAAGCGGTTGTTCTTAACAAAAAACAAAAAAGAAAAAGGAAGAGAGGTAAATGCAATAATTAAATTAATAAATGCTATTATATTTTTTTATAGTTTAAAATAGGTTGCTTTTTCTAAGAAAATATTTTTTTTTGAAGAAAAAAAAAAGAATGAATAAAAGATTATTTCATAGTTTCAGTTTATGTGCTTGTCTAATCATTACCATGATGGGTAGTACTTGTTTTTCCCCCCTTAAATAAAACATATCATTTTCATATTAAAGGCCTTAGT